GGGTGATGTATGTTTAGTTGAGTTTTTTTATGTTGTTTGTTTGAGGTGTTATTACATGATTTGGGGAGGGATGTTGTGTTATGTATCCCCTTTTCTTTTTGGTGTTTTTTACGTTTTAATACAGTGTTTATGCATTTGTTTTCCCGGTTTGCAGGAATGTGGTCTGTATGAAGCGTGTTTTTGAAAGTTTATATTTTCAACCCTGTTTTTTTAATGTTTTTTATAGTTTTTGGGTTTTGAGGTGACGGCAGTAAAGCTGTTTGGGGGGGGGGGGTTTTTGTGTTGTTTTATTTTTATGTAACTATTTACACAGGGATGTTGTATCCGGGGGTTTTTACAAGTTTATTTTTTGGTTTCCCGAGCTGTGTTTCGTGTCTGGTTCTGTGAAGACATGTTTTAAAATATTTGTTTCCTGGTGGATTTCGTTATTGTTTTGTTTTTATTTATATTTGTTTTATGGGCTCGAACCTCGTAAAGAATATTTGTATTATTTTTTTGGATGTTTGGTATTTTTTTGTACCCCTTTTTAAAAAAAAATAAAAAAAATCCAGGATTGTTAACCCGGGGGGCCAGTAACCCGGATTTTTAACCCGGAGGGGCCCGTAAACCGGAAATTTTTAACCCCAGAGGGCCGTAACCCCGGATTGTTTAACCCGAGGGCCCCGTAACCCCGGGTTGTTTAACCCCCGAGGGTTAACCGGATTGTTAACCCCGGAGGGCCAGTAGCCCAGGATTGTTAACCCCCGGAGGGGCCGTAACCCCGGTTTTTTACCCCGGGGGGCCCTAACCAGGTTTTTTAACCCCAGGGGCCCGTAACCCCCGGATTGTTAACCCCCGGGGGCCGTAGCCAGGTTTTAAACCCCCGGAGGGCCAGTAACCCCGGATTGTTAACCCCCAGGGCCCGAACCCCCGGATTGTTAACCCCCAAAGGGCCAGTAACCCGGATTGTTAACCCCCGAGGGCCATTAACCCGGATTTTTAACCCCCGGGACCCGTACCCCGGATTGTTACCGGAGGGCCCTAACCCGGTTGTTAACCCCAGAGGGCCAGTAAACCCGGATTGTTAAAACCCCGGGGGGCCATTAACCCGGATTGTTTAAACCCCAGAGGGGCCCGAACCCCGG